CAGGGGGCCATGGATCCTGTTGGTGGAATCTATTTTCTAATGTTGACTTCAACCTAGTAAAGCCCTCTTTAAGCCATTTACCTCTAACATGGGCCATGGGAAGGCAGTGCATCTGCTGGGATGAGAGGTCAGGAGGGTGGGATTTGGTTTCACATCCTGCTAATCTTGCCCTCACCCAAGGCCTTAGGCCAGCCACTTTCTGTCCCTGTTCCCCTATTTTGCACTGAGATTCACATGAGCATTAAGGCCCACTGGGGACCAATCCCTTTTTCAGTGTGGAGCCTGGTTTGGTGAGGATGCTGGTCAATTTTGATTTTTAAGGCACACAGGACTGTGGATTATCTCTGCCTGAAATTCCATGGCAATTGTCAGTTGGCCTACAAGAATGAAAACGAGACCTAAAGAACTAAAGTATTATAACTAAGTCCTTTATTAAAAGAATGCTCAACTCAAGTGAACACAGACCACCTGTTCTAACATCCCATCAGCCAGCCCGCTTCAATTTAGGGAGACTTGGCAGAGAAAGGTTTAGCTTTGTATCTTGCAAAGTGGAAGCGGACACTGCACATAAAAACTGATACTGTTGCTGTTACTGGTGCTCTCCCCGTGAAGCCAAGTGTGGCTTTACACATTGGCTGTGGTTGGCGATGGCGTCTTCGGTAGGAAGAAGGTAAGGGATTGGAAGGACTTCATCAGAGCAGCCGCTCTCTTCCGTGATCTCCATTTAACTTACTTGCTAGTCTCCATCCCTTTTGCAAAATGCATTAATGGCTACTGTATGCTCTATGCCCGTGTTACTTTTGTGTGCACAGTAATTCCCCTCCATTAAGGCTGAGTGCGAAGCAAGAGTCCATTGTGCAAGCTGCAGTTACCTGTTTGCAACAGTAAATTTGCTGTTGTAACTTGAGTAACTTGATCATGACATAAATGGAATGAGTGGGAGGATAGATAGCTAACATGCATTGAGCACCACTGGGTGCTAGGCACTCTTCCAAGTGCTTAACACCTAATCGCCTCTAATTGCTGTGTTAATGAAACTAAGTTGAGGGTTTCCAACAAAATTGGTAAAAGTGAGTTGCTACAAAAGAAATTGCTGGTGAGCTAGGTACAAAGACAATGGCAAGAGTTAAAAAGTTGAAAGGAGAGAAGCAGCTGTGGAAGGGGTCTGCGTGCAGCAATCTTTGTGTCTTACTGTGTGATGTCTTCAAGTTCTTTATCCACTTGGAAGAAAGCAAACTAGAAACCTGGGTCAGTATTATTTATGCAAGGAAGACTTTGGGCAATTAATCTGTGGACGCATAGCTAAAGGACAGATCACCAATAGGCTCAAAAATATTAGTAAACCTATGTTTATATACTTATGTTAAAATGCTCAAGGTATGTCCATTTTGTTTTATTTGGTGATTCATGGCTTTAACATCTGTTTTAACTAATGGACCCTAATAGTCTTGATAAGAAGTCTTTTGCTATAAAAGTCACCGAAGCCAAAACAGATGCGAGCCCCAGATGGCTCCGGTCCGTACGCAGGTGCCCACAGGTGGGCTGCTCAGGCTCCTCTTTGGGACGAGTCTCTGAAGTAACCATTGTGGCCCACGGATCGTGTTCTCTTACTACAAGTCCCTTTCCCCCGCCGTCAGTTAAAGTGGGTCAGATTGGATTTTAGCCTGTCAACTGTATCCACAACTTGGTGGACTACGTCTGCAGACGTTTTGGAGCTCTGTTTCAAGGGCAATGCAATTTGGCATAAGAAAACACCGACTGCCCTTTGCTGCCTGTCCCAGAAGGGGTGGTCGACTTGCTGTTCCCGTGGTCAGCTCCTTGGCGGATGAGAAGGGCAAGCACGTGCACACCCACGTGTATGTACACCCAGGCTTGGGGTCAGCGAGCCTACGGGTCAGGGGCTGGGCTCTGAGCTTTAAGGATACAAGAAAATACCTGATGTGACCACTGCCCTCAAGCTGGGATATGTGTCTAGAGGAGCCCGCTACGACTGGCTGAGCCAGATGGAGTGTCAGGAGCCGTTGGAAGGACGAAGACAGCAGGAGGGGCTCCTGGAGGGAGAGCAGCGGAGCAGCATGGTGACGACACAGAGGAATTAGACAACCCAATGACAATAACTTAGGGAATCATCCGCTTTCAAAGAGCTTTTATGTTTCTCTGATGTTATTCTCAGAATAGTTGCAGGGAGTAGAAGGACCCCCTTGACTGCTCACCAACTCTCTGGACACAGATGAAGAGGGAAGGTGGCTTGTGTCTAACGTGGAACCAGGGCTTGGACCAGGCTTCCCGGTGTGCACATGGTTCTGCTCCCAAAGCCAGGCTTTGCAGCTTCTAGCGCACTCGCTCCCCTCCCTGCCCCCGGAGTGACACATTGAAACCAGCCCCTTAACTGCCCAGGTTACATTGTCTTATTGCTTTACTGTCTTCTTTTTAAGAAGCTGCAACTATCACCAGCTACTAAATGTGGGGCCTCACTGACTTCTGGGACTGAATGGTGTGTGTGTGTGTCCCCTGCCTGCTCACCCGGCAGGTGGCTCGGGATTCCTGTCATCTGGCTCTGGGCGACGGTGGCTGGGGCAGCACCCTTAACCGGCACTCTCTGAAACCTTCAGGGAAATCTTAGGTAACACATTCTCTCCACTTCGGGGCAGACTGAGCTGGGCGCTCGGCAGCTCCCTGCTGCTTAATAGGGTGACGTTTGCAGAGGTAAAGACACCTGGACGAGGATCCTTACAGCAGAGTGCTTATTCCCGCTGGAGCCTGAACTCCACTGTGTGAGCAAAGGATCTGGAAGTTTCCCTCCCCGTTCCTCGTACTCAGAACAAACCCCACAAATGCGTCGGTGACAAGTCAGCATGTGTTACTGAGGGCTTTGTGTTTATACTGGGGCCCTGGAAGACGTAAACAAGCACAGGGGAAGAATACAAGGCCATGGTCCGTCCTTCATGGTCCATGCATTCATTCACTTAACAAAGATTTACTGAGCAGCTCTGAAGTGTGGAGTGGTGTGCTAGGTATTAGAGATTCCATTTGGAGCAGCTGTGGCCATGGCCTGGTGGAGTCCTTCTGGAGGGACACAGACAAGGGCTGATTGCACTGGAGTGTGATAAATGCCGTGGGTGCTCACGAGAAGTTGGGCAGCTGTGTGTGGTTTTGTTGGTGGGGGGTGGGGTGCTGTTCACTGGCTGTTGGCTGAAGGCGTGAGTAGAGGCCAAAATCCAGTCCATCCCCCTCTACTGCTGCCTTGGGGGTAGGAGAGCATTTTTGTAAGCGATAGAAGGACCCTCAGGAACCAGAAGTGTCCTTGACTGGAAAGACACCTGAACTAGAGTTGCAGGGAGAGGGTAAGCTTGGAAGGAAACATTTGAGCTCAGACTGGAAAGATGACTAGGAATTAGCCAAGGGGTGGGGCTGAGGGGTACAGAGGAGAGATGAGAAAGAACATCCCAGGCAGTGTCCTAATTTCCAACACTGGGATGGTAGTTAGCATGAGCTGGCTGCTGGTCTGAGGGCTTTAAGTTGATCCTCGTAGGAGGAAGTTGCATGTGGAACAGCACTGAAGTGAAAGAAAACACGGCATGTTTTGGATTCTGGAGGGTGTCCATTGTGGGTAGAGCACGGAATTCAGAGGGAAAGGGGATCTGTGAAGGCGGGGCCAGAGCCTGCAGCTCATCATGCCTGCGCCACCCTTGCTGTGTGCTGGGTCCCCGGAACACGCAGTGCACAGTGACGCGTTTTGCCCTCAACACAACTCTGTGGGGCAGGTGTTATCTTATCCTCAGGCAGATGCAGACGAGACCAAGGAGGATGGAGTAACCTGCCCAGGCTAGCCTGCAGAAGGGGAGAGACAGATTCACAGTAAGACACCAGGTTTGGTCCTCACACTGCCCAGCCAGGAGGAGAGCGAGCCGGAGACAGGCTGCCAAGAGCTGACTGGGCAGCGGGGAGGAAGGAGAGCCAGCCAGACGGGGTGACGGATCTCAGCATGGGCAGGAGGGCAAGCCGTGCTGCTCTGCAGACGTGGATGGGCCACGTGGTGCCATCGCGAGTCTTTCCCAACAACTAAGGGACAATGAACATCCGTCCTCATAAATGACTGTGTTTATACCTAAACACAATCCTGTGAAAGTTGGATGTAGTATCCACTGTGGTCATGGAGGAGGAAGAAGAGTCTCCAGGGAAGTAAAAAACAAAAACAAAAAACAAAAAACAAACAGATCCTCGCTCTGCAAGCTCATTTGTTCATTCACTCAGCATCTATTTCTTGAGCATCTCCTAAAAGCCAGACGCTCAGTGAGGCATGATGGGTGATACGCAAAGCCATTCCCTGACCCTGAGTGGACGGGGACTTTAAAAGTTAAACAGGTCAGTGCAGGGATTTAAAAACGTGTCTGCAAAATCTTTGACACTCGTGTCAGTGAGAGAAATGAGATCTGTGACTGCCCCTGCCTGGATCCTAGGCTGACCTTCGGGGCTCCCCAATTGCCCATAGATCGCTGTGGAGGCACTAGACTTCTGAGGCTGGTTTCCAAACAAGACCAGACATCTATCACTCACTGTGAGGGGACCCAGCTGCCAAGGAGCCCAGCTAGCCTCCTCCAGCCAGGCCGGAGAGGCCACGTGCAGACACTCTGGTCGACAGCTCCCGCTGGGCTCCGGTCAGTAGCCAGGGCCATCTGCCAGCCTTGTGAGCAGGCCATCTCACACTCCCGGCCCAGGCTGACCTTTAGGTTACGGCAGCTCTAGCCAGCCTCCTGCGCCAACGCCATGAGAACCCCAAGCAAGAACCGTCAGCCCAGCCTCTCCCACGTTCCCAACCCACGAAGGCAGAAACCAAATAAAAAGGTGGTTACGGTATTAGAGATGTTTTGAGTCATTGTTTAGAAAGCATCTGGAAGAGTCAGCCACCGGGAGCCGAGGGAGGGAGCACCTCCAGGCACCCAGCGGACGTCGGGCTCAGATCCTGCGAGAGCGCGCCGGTCCGACAGTGTGTCCGCATTCCAGCTGCCTCTCTGCTTTTATTGCGAACTGGTCTTCGGGAAGGAGGGGGCGGGCAGAGGTAGAAGAGAACGAGTGAAAACGGACAATGTAATTCAGAGGTCTTGATTTTTGCACGCTGCTCTGGGTTTGAGCTGACAGCCGCCGCTCCACATGCACCCAGACACGCACCCATGCACCCAGCGGGTGGGCCGGGGGCCTGATTAAGTTACAGGCATCCCTGAGGGAGCCTCCCGTGCTCCGTCTTTAAGCTGGTCACGAGTGGTGCTCTCGGCTTTATTCAGGTCTGACACCTGCTCCACGTGTTTGCAGACGCGTCTGCAGGGTCTTTGCCTTGGGCTAGTTGTGGCTCAGATGGGGGCTGAGAGGGGGGTAAAGGCGTGCTGCTCCGAGTCCCCCACGCACTGGGGTAGTGCGAGGCACGTGAGGTGATGGTGAGGGGCGCTGGGGAGTGGCTCTGGCCCGTGAATGTGTCCCATAAGAGGCCAAGGCGTTCGCTTCCTCCATTCTGGGTCCCACCTTTGCTCCCTGCTTCCTCGCGGTTAGGCCTGTGGGACGCCTTCTGTTGTCACAGAAGAGACACGGGGAGAGGTGGCCGTTGGTGAATAATGGGTCCCACCCGTTGCCCTCACCCTGCTGGGAAGGAGCAAGGAGTCCACAGTTTCCTCATTGTTGCAGGAAGAGCAATCCTCTCTTCCCCGCCGGGCTGGCCTTGCTTCTCCCCATTCTCTGTCCGTTACGGCGGAAGTCGTGTTGTTTTCACCAGAAATATCTATGGGCAGCTCTGGGGATTGCTTCTGGGAGACCGGGTGCTCCCGGTGAGTCTCCTCTCTTAATTAATGTTGCTAATTTTTAGTCATTTTGAAATGAAAGAACTTTACCCCTGGGCTGTCCGAGATGCTCGCCATTGGTACGTTCTTGCCGAGACCCAGAGGAGCGATTTTCAATCTCCTTGAACCCGCATAGCAGCTGTTGTAAGAGCTGCTACAGGATCTTCTTCACCCCACAGGGCAGGAGTGACAGAAACCTGATCCACATTCAGTGTCTGTACTGTCCGGGCCCAGAGGGAAGCCTCTTGTTTTCCTGAGGTGAGTCCCGGGGTCCTTCAGGAGCTGACTCTTGCTCCTGTCAGAGCCCTGTGTGGATTTTCAAAGACGCTGTGTCATGGACACCATCTCCCTTCTGAGCTGGGGACTGGCTCTGCAGGGCACACGGGCCCTGGAAGGCTCTCACCTTCCTGCTGTGAGAGTCACGCCTGCGCTTCGTGGAGCTCGTGTTCCTCGTGGAAGCTGGGCCGGTGGGTGGAACGGAGGGCAGGTGGGGGTCCAGCTCCGTGGGACAGGTTCTCTTCAGGGAGCACCTGTTGGGAAAGTCCGGCAGCCTATGTCATCTCCCCACTCTCTGTTGAGGCAAGGTCCCTGCTGAGGCCAGTAGTTGATCCCCATCTTTTCAGGTAGAGTTGACACACAATGGTGTGTGAGTTTCGGGTGGACAGTGTGATTTGACAGCTGTGCTCGCGTGCGTGGCCGCCATCTGTCACCGTGCAGCGCTATCGCAATACAGTGGACTGTGTTCCCTCTGCTGTGCCTTTGATCTCTTCATTCCATGACTGGAAACCTGCACCTCCCATGCCCCTTCATGAATTTTGTCCTTCCCCCATGGCAACCACCCGTGCGTGGGTCCCCTTCCCCCTTTTTCGGACACTTTCTCAGAGACTCTTCCCTCGAACCAACCTTCATCACCATCTGTTAACCTGGAAGTGTTGAAAACCTAAGGCCCATTTCATGGCTGCTCCAAGTTCTGTGGGTTCTGAACGAACAGTCACAGGATTGTATTTGTTTGCAACTGGTGGAGGACTTCAAGGTAATTTAGGTTAAGCCTTGCATTTTACAGATGAGCAATTTAGGGTTTTGAGAAGTTTGGTGCTTTGCCTGAGGATATACGCCTAGTTAGCAATAGAGCTTAGAGAATCCTCTCAGGTTTCCTGCTCTTAGATCAGTATTTGCTTTGCATTCTATTGCTTGACCTAAAAGCAGTACCTGACAATGGATTTGAGGCAGGGTTTCCACATCATTCTTTGTTGTGGGGGCTGACCTGTGCTTTGTGGACCTTCAGCAGCATCTCTGGCCTCTACCTACCAGGTCTCAGGAACAACTCTTTCCCCACCCAATTGTGAGAAGCAAAAATGTCTCTAGACTTGGCCAAAAGTTCTATGGGGGGCTGAGATGTTCCCTGACGAGAACGGCTTCAAGTTAGTGTGTCTTTTAAGGATTTATTTATTTATGAGAGAGCAGGAGGGTGTGTGTGTGCATGTTGGGGGTGGGGAGAAGGACAGAGGGAGAGCAAGAATCCCAAGCAGCCACCACGCTCAGCGCAGAGCCTGATGTGGGGCCCGATCCCATGACCCCGAGATCATGACCTGAGCCAAAATCAAGAGTCAAATGTTTAACCGACCGAGCCCCTCAGGCACCCCAAAGTTAGCGTATCTTTAAAGAAACAGACTTATGTTCCCTCATCCTAGTAGTGTGTGAGTGTAAAGCAGACAAGCAGCAGGCAGGGATTTGAGAAGACACGAGGCTTTCCAATGAGCTGTGACTAGACCGGCTCCTGGGGTTTCAGACTGTATTGCCTGTGCCCTCACTTCTGTGTTTAGACTGTGATGCCACCAGAAGGAGAGTCTGGCTGGGTGAGGGAACAGTTAGAGGAAATCAGTAGGATATTTGGTGTATTAAGGGAAACACTCACGACAGACATTCTTGTATAAGAGCCTTGTCTCAAGAATACGTAAAGGACTTAAAGTCGCCAGCAACCAAGCAAGTGACCCATTTTTTTTTAAGATTTTATTTATTTATTTGAGAGAGAGAGAGAGAGAGAAAGCACGAGAGGGGGGAGGGTCAGAGGGAAAAGCAGAGTCCCGATGTGGGACTCGATCCCGGGACTCCAGAATCATGACCTGAGCAAAGGCAGTGGCTTAACCAATTGAACCACCCAGGCGCCCCAAATGACCCATTTTAAAAGGCGGGCAAAAATTTGAACAGACACGAAACCAAAAAAGATGACAAGACCATGACAAGATGTTCAGCATCATTAGTCCTTTGGAAAATGCAGGTTAAAACAAAAGGAGATGCCACCACTTCATGTAAGAGTGGCCAAAATCGGAAAGACGGTTGCTGTCAAGTGTTGGTGAGGCTGTGGAAGTTCTGGAACCCTCACACACTGCTAGTGGGGATGGGAAGAGGTACAACCACTTTGGAAAATGGCTGGGCAGTTCCTTAAAATGTTAAACATATACCTACCATGTGGTCCAGCCTTTCCACCTCTAGGCATTTCCCCAGGAGAAATGCAAGTGCATGTCCATTGTACATTCATGGCAGCTTTAGCACAGTGACCCAAACTGGAAACAGCCTAGATGTCCATCAGCCATTACTTTTTCAACCCTGCATTGTGAGTGAGACATTTTCACATCCTGCCAAACAGATCAAGTTCAGTAAAGAAATGGATCAGATTGAGAGCATCTATTTGGGATACTGACTTGCTTTTTGAGTGTGTCCGAGTGTCATTAGAGTAAGTCAAGTGACACTTCTGTTCTTTCTGGTGATGGAGTTTGGCGGTGGAATTGGTAATCTTTCCTCTGTAGTCCCAGATGGACTATTTTAATGGGCTGCTAGGTGATGATGGTTTCTTTAAATATCAAGATTTAAAAGATCACACCTAGCTTTAAAAACTAGCTCTGTTAAATGCATTTTATTTATACAACATTAAAACATTTAGGGAGGTCACTGTAACTCCTCTTTAAGATGGCAGGCCAGATGCCCTTATGGCTAGAATTCTTCCCAAAAAATCAAGAGTTGGGAACCAAGAAAAGAAATTATTTCAGGGGAGGGTAGAGTGATAATTCCTACCCCAGAAATAGCCAAGATTTCTGTGATGTATGTGGGTGGGTTGAGACTCGCTTTAGAATCCATATTTAAAATTTAATATATATTTTTTGAGTCCCTGATAGGTCTTGGGCATTGAGATCCATAAAGGAAGTAAGAAACCATCCAGTCTTATCTTTAAAGATGTCATAGTCCAGTCAAGAGAAAGACAAGTCTGTGCACAAGGACAGTCCAGAATGATGAATGCCACAGTGGAGATGGGCATTTGGTGCTGCTAGCAGAGCACACCCAGATCATTAATAAAAAGTGAGGTGGGGGTTGATCAGGAAATGCTTCCGCATTCCTCCTAGATACCCTAGCTCTGTGCTGGGTGTTCGAGCATGGGGACTGAAAGTTACTAGTAAAAGATATGGTTCTTGCTGTCAGAGATTTTAGTCTAATGGAGATAAAGTTAGTATGCATGGGACTAAGATGGCCATGTGTTGAGACGGTGTAAGGTGTTTGAAGCAGTCCTGCGATGAGTGGCAAGAGAATTTGATTCTGGCCCAGACTCTGCCCCCATGTGGCTCTTGACCCCGGGACAAGTCACTCACCGGCTCTCTGGGCCTCAGTCTTTTTAACTCTAAGAGGAGAAGCCAGGAGAACAATGTATGCTATGTCAGGTACTTTCTAGGTCTCTCCACGTTGTAATGTGTTGAGGGGAGATCTGGGGAGAGCTTGACCAGTTTGTTCTCATTGGAGAGATCTGCCTCGGTGAAGCTCTGGTTGAAGAGAAATGCCGTCCATTATTAGGGTGGGCAAACTCTGGGAGTGAGATTTTTAAAGCTCTGAAGACTTTTTATGGGAATCCCATTTAAAGCTAAAGCAAAGGGTGAGTCTTCCCTGCTGGAACCAAAAGCGTTGGTCCCTTTGGCCTCTGTCCTTCAGTGACCCCTTTTTGATTGTGTGTTCTTGACTTGGCTTTGGGTTCCTGATCATTATCAAGAGGGACCTACACCCAAGGTCTAGAACACCTAGCATGTTCTCTCGTCCTGGGGCCTTCCCTCCTGGCATGTAGGATTAGCCAGTGCCACCAGTCCATGATTGGACAGATGTTTGCTCCTCTTGCTTCTTTCTTTCTTAATCCCTCCTGTCTGACGACATGGCAGGTCATGTGCTCCTGATCTGAGAGTGTCCCAACAATGCACAGCACTGTTATTTGGAAGAAAAACATAAATAAGGAACTTGTACAGAATTGGAGGAACTGAATTGCATATTTTTTTCTCTGCCCCATCCGGTACGCCTGAATGCCTCCTTTGAGGCGCTCACTTCCTGGAGCAGACCTGAAGGACCGCATGTCTACCTGGCAGCTTGGCAAATGCTTGTGGTGATGGATTTCCAACTTGGTGTCTTTCTAAAGGGTGTGGAAGACATGAAGATGTTCTAGATTGGGGTAGCAGCAGTGAATTGTTTCTACTCTCCTTTCTACTTCTGGACTCCAGATCTTTTCCAGCTCCCATTCGTTACCCTAAATTCAATGTATGGGGTTCAACAATGTACCTGCCACACTGATTCCTTGTTTTCCTCCAGACAGTATCTGGTGGCCATCCACGGTCTTCCAGAGAGTTTCTCCTCTAACTTCAACAGCTTATTCCCAGTTGAAATTTGACTTCCCAAATAACTGTGGGGGAAACCACAGGTCTGTTAGGCTTGATGACTAGAAAATAATCAGAAGGCTAGATAAGAAAATAATCAGAAAGCTGTGTGGGGATTTATTCCATTTTGTCACCTATAATTTTAATGTCAGAGTAATTGGCTAGGTACCAGTTATTTTCTAAACAAAAGGTTGGATAACACAAAAAGAGTTGTAACAGTCCTGTCTGGAGTAATTGAAGTTAAAAAGCCTTTTGCTAGTATGGATGGGACCAGCAACATGGTACTTGACACACGAGAGGACAGTTCCTTGATGAGGCTTTATACCATGTGAAGTAGACTGGCAGTAATTGAGAATCAGCAGGTAAAGTGCCCACGGTCATGCATATAATAAGGGATGAGACTGACTTTCAAATTCTGATCTTTCAGACTTGATGCCAAATCCAATATGTCTTCCATGACCGTATGCATTTATGATTAATGAAACTTGTCTGATTTACCCATAAGCTGCTCTTGTTAGATTAAAAAGAAATGAACACTTTATTCATGGTAAGTATTATGAGATAGTAGCAAAACTCTGAGGAACTTCTAATATATTCCCCTTTTACCTGAAAAAACATTTCAGCAGGAAAGAGGGGAAAGGATGGACAGCTTTCATCCATTTCCTTATGGTCCTACATCTTCAGGGGTCATGGCCTGGACTGTGCTGATGACCCTTATACCCAAGTGTTTTCTGTGGAGAGCCTTGATGACAGGACCCAACAGATGGGTAGAGGTCATTTTCATGTGCCACGGTACTCACCCCAAACCCAGCACAAATAAGATCGCACCACAAACACTCACGTCCCAAATTCATTTCCTTGGGACACTGGAGGTTTTGTTACTTATACCATAGAAGTCTTCGGGGGGACCCATCTCAATATGTGTTTTCATCTTGAGTTAAATCCAACTCTTCTTGTTTCCTTCTCCATCAAACCACACCCCCCCTTGCCTTTCTGTCAAGGGGTGATGGACAATAGATGGTAGCAACAGTTTCTATGGTAACAGCATCTGAGTCATCTCCTTGGAAACCTGCATAAAGGCCTTCCATCTCCAGACCAGCTCAGTGCAACTTGGAAGGCCTTTGTTCCCATGAATGTATCAGCATGGGGCAGCAAGCTCTCCCGGGCTCTGGCCACTGCAGTTTCCTTTGGCTCCCGATGCCCACGGCAGTCTGGGTATAGAGTTGGATTCAACCAAATGTGGGGGTCGGTGGGCCCTGGGGTGCTTTTCTCAGCCTAGTCCATGTCCAGAATGCATTGTCTTTGGTCCAACAGCAGATGCCCAGCAGCTTTAGCCAGTAGACTGCTTGCTTTTTAAAATGCCCAGATGACTCAACCAAGTCTCCCACAGTGACCAGCTATGGATCAGAATAAAGCAGGACTGCTTCAGAACGCTGATGAGCGGGGTATTTTGGCATGGTCCTGAAGAGAATCTTGAAATGGGGCACCATGGGATAGCTTGTCAGAGACCCTCTCCTTACGGTGTCCTTCAAATGCAGCAATTTTGTTCCTTAAATGAAAGCAGAATGGTTTCCAGCAGCTAAGAGGATTAATTCTCTTGTCATCATCCACACCAAGTCACAATCACAAACGCTTCCATTGTGCTGCTTATTTTATAGATCATTTTCACATTCAGGAGCTCAATTAATCATTTATTCAATCTTCAACACGTGTTAATTTGAAACTTACTACATGTTGTGTATTGTGTTGGGAGTTTGGGGCAGACCTGTGAGAAAAAAAAATGCACAGTCCCCGCCCTACTGAAATTTACAGATTGGAGACTCCAGGGCTAATCAGATAATCCCATGTGTGTGAATATTCAGCCAAGTGGCACTAAAGGATCAGGTCCATGGTATGATCAGTGTGTCGAATGGAGGGAATTGACCTTTTGGAGACCTCTTCCTTGAAGAAGCGGTGGTCATGCTGACACCTCATCAGCAGGGCCCTTTGCAGATGAAGAAGTGAGGATTTGCAGGGCGAAGTAGCTTCCCTGTGATCACACGCACTGCTGAATGCCAGTCCAGGAGTCCGATCCCAGGCTCTGTCTGTCCCTTCCTGCTGACTCTCCAAGCTCCACCTAGGGTCAGTCTTAGGCCAGATAGCCAAGTGTTCTCCCGTTTTCACTCAGGTTCTGCCCAGCTTCCAAGCCTGAGCCCATTGCCTATTTGCCCAGGAGGACAACTGTAGGAATTTTCTCTATCCATGGATATTGTCCTCCAAGATGTTAACTGATGGAGGTAGCTTGCTTTTAAGGGTTGACCCTTAAACTCAGGACTCAGGCTAAAACTTAGTCTCCTCCCAGCCCCCCAGAAAAAGGTTAGAGGTAGTTTGACATAAGTGTGTTCTTAATCCCCTTGGTGGAGTGTGGATGGGCCTCAAGACAGAGTTTCTGCCAACATTTCAGAGCAGAGCAGCTGTGCGGGGCAGCTCTATTCCTCTGTTGATGGACATCTGGGTTCTTTCCACAGTTTGGCTATTGTGGACATTGCTGCTATAAACATTAGGGTGCATGTGCCCCTTGGATCACTACATTTGTATTTTGGGGATAGACACCCAGTAGCGCAATTGCTGGATCATAGGGTAGCTCTATTTTTAACTTCATGAGGAACCTCTGTATGGTTTTCCAGAGTGGCTGCACCAGCTTGCATTCCCACCAACAGTGTATGAGGGTTCCCCTTTCTCCGCATCTTCGCCAACATTTGTGGTTTCCTGGCTTGTTAATATTAGCCATTCTGACTGGTGTGAGGTGGTATCTCACTGTGGTTTTGATTTGCATTTCCCTGATGCCAGGTGGTGCTGAGTATTTTTTCATGTGTCTGTTGGCCATCTCTATGTCTTCTTTGAAGAAATGTCTGTTCATGTCTTTTGCCCATTTCTTGACTGGATTATTTGTTGTTTGGGTGTTGAGTTTGATAAATTCTTTATAGATTTTGGATACTATCCCTTTTTCAGAACAATTTAAAAATAAGTGACAGTTTAGGCATACCCCTTAATCCTGGATTCCGTAGCTAAAACAGTGTTATCCATCTCTTTTTTGATGCTGAGATCCGAGCAAATGTTGCCATCTTTATGGCTGACATCTTGTGAGAAAGTTCTGTTTTCCTACCATGAACAAACTGATCTTACTTTCTTAAAAAATATGTTTTTTTTTAAATTTTCCAAGCCATGTCTTTAACAAATGTTTTTGCTGACACAGTTGAAGATTTATCTTTTTTAAATGCATGAATCCAGAAAATAAGCAGGCATCTCCTGTACCAAGGAGACCATTCCTATCTTAGGTAGACCATGTCTGCTCCTACTGAGGCTACTTTAGGTTGAGGAAGGAAAGGAGAAGTGAGAGTGGAGCTGTGTGATTGGGAGCAAGTTGGCTCTCCCATTCTCTCTATAAAATGTATATTAAGAACCATTTTCTTCTAATGAAAATTTGTGTCATTGTCTTGAAATATTTTTGAATATTTCAAATATATTTTGAATATTTTTGACCTCCTAGGGTTGGGATTTCTGGTAACCCAGAGTGACTTTAGTAGGGTGCCCCTGGCTGGGAATGACATGTCACCATGTGTATGAATGGGCAAAGATAAAAGGTACCATGCCCCTCCCCACCATACACCACACTGACACTAACAAGGGTTTGTAATTTTGAAAATCCTCTGACTGTTTAAGCTGATGGGGTCCTCTCATTAACATTTCCTAATGTAGGGAGACCACCCTGGGCCTCCTTGCTGTTTTTCAGACCTTGAAAGAGGAAGGTAGGCAGCTTGTTATTGAGATTCATGGATGAGGATAGAGTTGAAGGTGCTCAGAACCCTGACAGAGGCTGATGGGGAAATGAGTGCACACGAGTAATAGCCAAACAGGGAGACTGGTAGGTGAGGGAACACGAGAAGCTTCCCCTGCAAGGCTCCACCCCCACCTTGCTGGCTAGGACAAGGCAATCACATTGGTCATTTTAGAGTCTGGAACGTGAGGTCTAGGGAACCTACATGAAGGTGTTTTCTGCAGCGGTTGGCATGTCCTGAGAGTCTGGGATGGGTGGATAGTTACAAAGGAGAAGGGAAGTGAGGCTAGAGGCTTCTAAATTAAAAACCACTACAGTACTTTCTAGCAAACCACAGTGTACAGCACACTACAGATTATATCTAGAGCCCACTGTCAGCTGAGAATAGGGTGGGGGCATTTTGCCAGCACAGTCTGGTGTGGGTGGTGGTAATCTCCTTGTCCAGGTAAAGAAACTGAGGTAGATCTCCAGCTCACATAGCTGGTTGATGCCCAATCCGGGATTTGGATCCAGACCTTTCTCCAAGTCCATGTTCTTTCCACTCTTGCTGCATCCTTTCCAGAGAGACTCTCTGTGGTCCATTTAAGTTAGGACAGTCCCTGATGCTGTCAGGATGCTTTCTTCAGAAGGCCCTTTAAAAAGCTGTTTGAGCCCCAGGAATAGTACAGATTGAACTTGCTCATCAGTTAAACACATTTACATCTCCCTTGGGGCTGTGGAATCCGGAGGGTTAATTAGCATCCCTCAGGCTGTTCTCAAGTAACTGGGAAGGGCTCAGGATGACCTTGAAGAGCCTTTCAGTATTTGAGGTGGCTTCCAGAGTTTGAGTTATAGATTGGCCACTTTCCCCCTCCACCTCTTTTAATTACAGTGGCTCGTCCTCAGGAAGCTGGGATCTGCATCTTTTCTGTGCTTGCCTGTTTCAGCTGGCCTTGGCCCAGACTGAAGGCAGCACCCCAGACCCTTCCCCAAGCTATTCTCTCTTCTCCTTCAGCTCCTTTTCCTGTTTCGTGCTGAGAAATCATGGTGGCTGGCCTAAGAGAGGGATTTCAGGTGTGAGTCGTTTGCGATAGATAATGAATTGCTCTGAGCTATCCACATTTTCTGATTTCCTCTTTCCATGACCTTCCATTGCTGTGTGGAAGGTGCTGATCAGGGTAGCCATCAAGCCAAGGTGAGAGCTATAATTGTGGCTGTAGGATGAACAGGTCAGATGCATCCTTTGGGGAGTGACCTCCGCAGTGTCCTAAACTTGATGCATGACTATTGTCTCACATGCAAGAGAAACATGGAAATCCAACCTGTGCCCGTTGATTATTTTCTGGGTGAGCAAGAGCCTTTACTCTCACGGTTGGAATAAGGTAAGAAAGAATTGAGTAAGTCAGAAGAGAGATGAGACTGGGAAAACAGCGTCCACCATACACGTAGTCCCGCCCTGGGGGAGCGTCGGGGTGTTGGTACTGCTCCTCTGTCTTCTGATGTGTCACCAAACATCCCTGCAGCTTCTTCCCTGACTTTGGCTTCTGGATGGACCTTAATCTTCCAGTGGATTTTGCTCCCCTTCCAAAAGGTAGCTAAGTAGGTAGGTAGGTATTTAATTAAAAAAAATTTTTTTTTTAAGAGACGGAGATGGGGAGGGGCAGAGAGAGAGAGAAAGAACCCTAAGCATACTCCACACCCAGCACAAAGCCCAACACGGGGCTCGATCTCACGGCCCTCAGATCTTGACCTGTGCCGAAATCAAGATTTGGACGCTTAACCAACTGCACCACCCAGGTGCCCCAGTCTTTATTATTTCCTAACTCCTGTGAGTCCTTGGGATTTTTGGTCGTTGGCCAGACAGCTACACTGGCGTGGACACTGTTTAATGTCCTGTTTCATTTCTGACCGGACCATGTAAATAACCATCTTATAGCACCAGCTTCGCTCATCTTACTGCACCACACTTTCTCCTTTGCCTCTCTGCCTTTTTTCCTCCTTTCACTTATGCCACACACAACGTA